CCTTTAAAGCATTTTGTTTTTTAATTTTATTCTTATAGTCTTTTGAGGACGTGTCCCATAATTCAGGATAATTTTCTTGTTTTTCAATTACCAAATGTGTTTTTTCACTACTCCAAACGAATTTATTTTTGTCCATTTTTATAAATTTTGAAAAGAACTCAAAAAAAAACACAAAACAAAACTCAAAACAGAAGAGAATACCACAAATCGTTTACTCACGTACACCCGACTTCTTCTGCAAGTCTTCAAAACACTTGTAGTTCACAGCAAGTCGTTCAAGTTACTTCCAGCAAGCAACAAACACATGTTTCCACATAATTGCTGCAAGTAACTTCTGCAAATCGTGACTTCTGGAGGTCGACTTCTAATACGTGTTTACACGACAAAAACTTCTGGAAGTCACTTTTGGAAGCAACTTCCGCAAGAAAACTTGGTAGTGGACACACGGCTTTATTGTGTTACTACATGATCGGATTCTGTTTATATATATTTTCTATATTGATCAAGGGACCGATGAAAAACAATAACACCTGAGTCCATCAGGTGCATTGACCCGGTTTCCTTTGGTAAACCGCTTATTATTTATGATTTAGTACTTCATTTTTTTTATATATAATTCTTTTTTTTTTTACTTTTTTTTTACCTGATATTTTCTTTTGTAATTGTAAATTGTACTTTTTTTTTGGATTCACCAATAAATATATATTATTATTATTATTATTCATAAATAACTTTACATTTGTCGAAGTAGTTTTTATTTTATTTTCTGAAAACCTTAGGTATCTGCCACTAGGGGACTTTCCCCTACAATGAGTTCCAAGACGAAGAAGAAGTTGATTAGATTGTTTTGTGTGGTTTTTAACTCTTCTGTTTAACAATGTTCATCTGATCTCATTTCTTTCTATTTATAAGCAAGTCTCAAACCACTCTTATGCTAATATTCTTTTACCAATCATCAAGTTGGACTTTGCTGATTTCAATAATCCGCAATCTTTTAGCTGATGTCTTGTCACGTGTGTCTTATAAATATCTTAGGGTTCCGATTAAAGTTGTCGATATTGGATGTTCTTCTCGAAATTATAGTTTAAAATCAAAGACATTTCACCTTCATAAAAATGTACCAAGAATTTACGATTTTTACTTTCTACACTAAAGTGTTAAATATCGAAAGTGGTAAGAATCAATTTAGTTAACGTTTTTTTATGATGAGTTACAGCAAATGTTTCCTTCTTGTTATAATAATTCATGGTGTTGTTAGTAAAAAGCGTTTTATTACGTAAAACGTTTCTATAAACGACGTTCATATGTAATATCGTTAGTGTATTTACGATTTCTTCATGTATTCTTATGTCGCGTAACTCAAAAAAGGTTTAAAAATACCTCATTATCTTTAACTTTCGAAAACCGGGGAGATACCGGTGGGGAAGTTGAGCAATATGTCAAATCTAATAACGCGAGGTTTAAAAGTGGAAAGATTTACGGTACGCCACGCGCGCTTTTAACGGTAACTTAAAAATGGGGAGGATTACGCCCGACCGACTCTGAGGACAGGGTTCCACAAGAATGATTTCGAACGTTACGGGTTAGTTATCACAAGAAAATCTGAAAGTTAAGATAAATTCTCGAAAAGAAAAAAAGACACTTAATAATATTTTATTTTGTTTTATCGTTGTTACACAACTGATCAAAGAAATTATTAAGTATTTTCATTAATAAATAAAAACTGTATTATTCTAATTTACATTCCGAGTAAATCATTGACCTGAAAAACATTAATAATGTTCTTTGACTGTTGTAGGTACGAAGTAATGCGAGCGCGCGGGCGTTTTGTTCCACATCGTAGGGAAGGTTACAGGTAAATCCCAATTAATAATCGCATTCGAGCGACCTTTCACTAATTAACTAAGCCTTCACACGTAAATGATTTATCGTGCGACGATAACTCACTACGTCGAAATGAGCGGTACACTTTCTTCTATATTAACTCTGGACGTACGTTTCATTGATTTATACTCGTTTAACGTTAATATATTTAATAGTTAATTAACAATTTAATTAACACTCTAAATATTCGAACTATTAAACTGCAAAACCACATTCATGAAATTGTAGAGTTTTAAATTTAATTTTCAATTCGATTTCAAATTGATTTATAAAATGTTTGTCAATTGAAGGGCTTAGTGTGAAACAATAACAAGTCACATTTTTTTCAAATATGACTTTTGCTTATTTTTGAGTTCTACAAAAGTATAATAAGTCATGGAATAAATAGTTTGAAAATATTCCAAAGCATAGCACCACAAATTCGTAGTAATGATCTTGCGTTGCTACATACGCCATTGTAACGCGTCGTGACTTAAGTGCATGTGAATAGAATAATTTTAATATAATGAACAGTGAAATGAGTGATGTAGATTCTCCAGTCGATGATAGTGATATTGATAGAGATACCTAGTGATGCAGAAAAGGTAGATACAAATCAACAGGTAAATGACTTTTTTCATTTATGTAGCAGGTTATTGTATTGCCATTGTTAATTCTATGCAAGCAAATTGGGTTGTCATTGGGTGGCTAGTTTAGTATTGCTTTTTCAATATAGAACGATGGTATAAAAGAATCAGATGGGGAAACAGGGAGCAGAACATTAAAACGGATTAGGGCTGGTACACCTGAACTTGCCCCTAGAAGTAGATGGAAACACCGAAAAAAAGACACATATCCACGATCAAAGAGAAAAATAAGAAGAAATCTGGGACAGCAGTATACTAGTGACAAAACCAAAAAGACTGTTGCAGCTCGGGAGTTAGGACCTCCTTGTGAGTGTAAAAAAAGATGTAGAGAGAAACTAGATGGTAATGAAAACCGTATTTTCAATGAATTTTTGAATTTGGGATCATGGGAATTGCCGAATGGGTATCTCTTTGGATGCATTGCTATAGCAAAGAAAAAGAGATCTTACAAAACAAGGCAAAAACGACAAGAATCAAGTAGAACTTCCAATGCGATTTATTCTGTCAATGCTAATGGCCAAACAGTAAACGTGTGTAAAATCGAATTTCTGAATATTCACGGTCTGCAAAAATCAAAGGGTAGACTGAACNAATCTTGATGGTTGCGGGACTGGGCTGGCGCTTGTTCTAACTTGATGGAATGACTTGACGTCTTGTTGTCAATTGACGTAATATGGCTTGGGTTTGACTTTATTGGGTATGGGTAGAGCGCAGATTCAAATATTTCGTCGGGGGCAGGTTCAAGCTAATCGTCGGGTGCAGGTATAAAGTAATCGCTGAGGTAGGGTCAAAAAATTCGTCGGGGGCAGGTTCAATTTTCGGGTGCAGGTATAAAGTACTCGTTATGGTAGGTTCAAAAAAAATTCGTCGGGGGTAGGTTCAATCTTCGGGGTCACCAAATTGTGGATATATATATATGTGTGTCCACAATATAAATTAATATTTTAATAAGTAATAATATGACTACACTAATATAACTACATTCACAGGATTGATAGGACTGACAGGATTGATTATTTTGAATGAATAATAATATTAATTATTTTATATAGTAACGTTCTTTTGTTTTGTACATGTCGTGTGCACAGCATGCTACACTGGTTATACAACTTAGGCATTCATGATTGTACAAATGGCAAAGGGCACATGTTTCTCTGGACGGAAGATATAGCAAAAAGAGGAAGTGATGAAGTCGCTTCAATCCTCCTAACATTTCTTATGACGAAGAGCGAAATTGGCCACCTAATTATATTTACAGATAATTGCCCAGGGCAAAATAAAAATTGGGTAATGATGAGTTTATGGTTACAACTGGTAAAGGAGAATAAATTTAAAACAATAACGCACCATCTTGTCGTAAGTGGTCATACTCATCTTCCTTCTGATAGGGACTTCGCACTTATAGAAAAGCGACACCGAAGGTATGCACCACAAGTTTTTTGTCCAAATGAATGGTACGATATTATACGGCGATCAAACAAAAAAACACCTTTTGAAGTCACAGTTATGACGCAGGAAGATTTTTTAAACTTTACACCTACTCTTACAAACATAAAAAAGAGTTCGCGCACCAATACTGGCCATAACTTAGACTTTGCTAATGCGCTTTCATTTCGATTTAGTAATAAAAATACTAAAGTTTTTTACGTCAAACATTCCGTTCATGGTGAGTACGACCAGGTGTCTATCTCAAAACGAGGAAGACCAGTATACACTACACTTGATCAGTTAGATAGAAAGTATCTTGAACCAATTAAAATTTCAAAAAAACCTTACATACCGGCTGTGAATCATGGTTTTTTCCAAAATTTACAGCCAAAAATAACTGATAGTGCTGAAGAAACAGAGGAACCTGAAATTATTAATGAAGCAGAGCCATTTTCTTAGTTTAAACATTATTTCTTTATATTTATTTTCTTTTTTGAGTTATTGACTTATTTAGTTTTTAATTGAAAATGTTGTCGTTTGTTAATGCAAAAGTGTTACAAGTCACAGTTTTTCTAATAAAATTCTATTTATATATTTGTTATAGTTTTCTATATATTTTTTTTATTATTTCAGTATCCTGGATAGATATATACAGTTGTGTTACTAATGTAAACAACCCAAAAGGTAAAAAGACGGAAACATTAATTTTACAGATTTTGTACAAATTTCAAAGTCGATTTTCCAATAATTTTATATTTGTGCCTTGTCATTGTTTCACACTAAGCCCTTCAATTATAAAATTGAGATGTATTTAGAAATAGAAAATAGTTTCACTTTAAATCATTTTCTCACAAACGAGTTATAAATTTCATAAGACCGTCGTCATGTAACATTGTTAGCAGCGATACAAATCGCGATCGTTTGAAATAAATACTAACATCGACAGTTTCTCCTCGCTTTTGAAACGATATAGTATACGCATTAACGCTTTTGGTAGTCTAGGTAATATATTAAGGCGACCTGCAGAAATTTATTACTTTACAATTCTTTGCATCGTCTTACCTACGTTCCTGGTCGGACAACGTCCATCGATTGTGGGCGGGTGGGAATCGTGGGTACATAAACAAATAAAGGTGTTGTTTTCGTATGATACGCAAGCAGCTTCTGGAGAACAAACTCCTTTAGAGCAGGAACCGGGCTTAAACATAAACGCTCTTTCCGAAGATGAATCTGAAAAAGAAAAACTGGTTAGAAAAGTTAAATAAAATTTGCTTTTAGACATAGTGAGGTATGGAGAAATGATCGCGGTCGAGATAATGTCGTACTCGACTGGTTTATTACCAAGAATTTCTTGGTGTATTGTTGCAGTTTTGTAATCTTTTCGGAAGATCCTCTTAAAAAGAAAAGTTACTGTCTTACTGTATCCTGTATTTTATGTCTGATTGTGAGATAAAGATATATATGTATTTACAATAATAAGTTTCAAATTAAATCGTGTAAGTTATTTTTTAATACTTTAGTCATTTTCAATAAACCACAAGACATCGATTTTTTGAGATACCGAAATAAAACATTTACCAAATTATAAAGTAAAGTATGCACTTTTTAATTAACGAAAAAAGTTCTGGCGTATCTCGGTTAGGTTTTGGGATAAAAGTTTTCAAATCAAGTCGTGTGTGTTAACTTTTTATTATTTTAATTTTAGAGTAACTTTCAAACAATCATATCACATCGAGTTTTTGAGATACCGACATGAAACTTATACCATAGTATTGAGCAAAATATACACTTTTTACAATACAATACAATATAAATTTATTTATGTAATAATAAACATTACAAAAAAAAACGTCAAAAACAAATAACTGTATAAAACACGTTAAAACAAATTATTATGTAAGACACCTCAAAACAAATAATTGTATAAAACAAGGAATAATTGTATAAAATGTTACATGTCAGTGAACACAGTGTGGGATAAAAACTTTTCGTAAGAGTAAAACGTACGTTTAATTAAAAATTCCTTGATTCTGATTAGAAACGATTGCTTTCTTAGTTTTGCCATGTCTGGCGGTAACTTGTTGAAAAACTTGGATACGATGATATGGTGTTTGAAGCTGCCGGTAGTTTCTGGTGTTGTACTCACAGTGCTCACAGCCATTTATTATATTTAAATTTGGTTTCATTATGGTATACGTGCATCAACACCGTAAAGATGTAAATACACGATACCGTAAGTATGCGTTCTAAGCAAAAGTGCTCTCTACAGCTCTCCCTATTCCAGATTACACAAAACACGGAGAACTTTCTTCTGTAGTCGGAATATTTGTAGTGTTCCCGATGACCCCCAAAACATGATGCCATATATTATGATGCCACGGAAAGGAAAACAGAAAAATAAGCCAATCTGGCAGCATGGTGAGTTGAAATCTGTTTCAGCCGTCGTATCGTATAAATGCTGCCAGATAGTCTGAATCGTAGATTCTTCAGGTGTTCCTTCCATGTTAGTCTGTTATCTATACAGGGTGTTTCGGTGACTCGTGGAAGAAATTTAACCACATATACTAGAGTGAAAATGATGACGATTTATGTAAAAAAAAAATTAGTAAAAGTCCTCAAATTTCGAAGATACAGGCCATCAAAGTTATGAAATTTTAACACATTTTTCTAAATATCTTAAACACTATTTATGGTAATGTGCTGAAATTTGGTACAGTATAAACTAATATCACGTAAAACCATATGGCAATTGATAAGTTGGGTCGATCCGCGGGAACAATGCTATACAGGATGTTCCTAAAATTTGTTTGCTCAGAACTTTTTTATTCGATCGTAACCCTACATTTATTTTTGCAGTTTCTAATAGAAAATTTATTTTAGAAACTTTTATTACTCTTAGATAATATTGATAAAAATCATCGTTTTCGTGTTAAATGCAAAAATGTTATGTTCCGATTTCAATAACACCTAAAAAAAAATCTAAGTCGGCCATGACAAGTGAAAATCGAACTGAGCCGTCATAAATATTATGTATGTAACATTTCCAAGTGTAGATTAGGTAAATCCCTTTTTAATTTGTTTTAGTTGATTTAATAAAAGATAATACAAAACAATAAATTTAATTTTAACGACAACGCTAACAGGAAAAATAAAACAAATACATAAAATAACAAGACAAGTAATAAAAAATACTATAGGAAATGTTCAAAAAGACCTCCGTTAGCATCAATACATGCCTGATATCGTCGCCTTAAATTAAATCGTACTCTAGGCAGTACATTTATCTCCGTTCGAATTTGGTCGAATGAATCGACGATTCGTAGTCTGAGCTGATCGACTGATCTAATTTCAACGCTGTAGACCAACGATTTAACTCGCCCCCATAAATAAAAGTCCATAGGTGTAAGGTCTGGTGACCGGGCCGGCCAAGTTATCGATGCTTCCGTTCCTCGTCCGATCCACCGTCCCGGGAAACGGTTCCCTAGAAATTCCTTCACTGCATTTGTGCTGTACGCAGGGGCACCATCATGTAAATACCACATGTCCCGTCTGGTATTTAACGGAACGTCACCTAAGAACTCGTTCAATCCTTCCAAATGTTGATGGTATGTAGGGCCATTAAGTCTTGACGGCAAGAAAATGGGACCAACAATGACATCCCCCATAATCCCAGCCCAAACATTGAAAGAAAACCTCCATCGAGATTTCTAAGTTTTGAAAAATTTTGGATTTTCTTCCGCCCAACTATGTAAATTCCTTAAATTAATTATTCCATCTTTGGAAAAAGTAGATTCATCGGTGAAAACTATTTTTTTTTAAAACTGGTCATCAATTTGTATTTTCTGTTGCATTTTCTGGCAATATTCCAATCTAATTGGATAATCGGTAAGCTGTACTTCCTGAACCTTACAGCAGTGAAATGGATAAAGCTGCTGCTCTCGAAGAATACGCCACACAGTCGTTTTTGACGTCCCAAATCGCCTAGCCATGTCCGAAGTACTAGTGGTACTATTTTCTTCTGCATGTTCTAAAATTAACTCTTCCAATTGAGGAGTTCGAACAGATCTAGGGTTGCCGTTGTTCAGAAAGATAAGGTTTAGTGATCCATTTTCTCTTAATCGGGCTTCAATTCGAGAAAACGTTTTTCTGTTGGGGGTTCTACGATTCGGGAATTTTTGCCGATAACGGTTAGCGGGTGTTACGGAATTTCCAAGACATTCATCCAATGTTAAAAGCATATCGGTTTGTTCTCCAAACGTGTAATTTTCCATTTCGAACACTACAAGGTTTTTAGTATTTGTTTAAACGACTAAGCGTGTTTACAACTGTCAATGAATTCGTTTGTTAATTGACATGGCAGACTTAGACTTCTTTTTTTTAGTGTTATTGAAATGGGAGGTACCATTTTTGCATTTAACACGAAAACGGTGATTTTTATCAATATTATCTAAGAGTGATAAAAGTTTCTAAAATAAATTTTCTATTAGAAACTGCAAAAATAAATGTAGTGTTACGATCGAACAAAAAAGTTCTGAGCAAACAAATTTTAGGGACTCCCTGTATAGCCTGGTTGCCGCCGCCTAATCAAAGTCAAAATTGGTTCAATCATTTTGCTTGAGATTTGTTTACCCTGTACCAAATTTCAACGCTCTACCATAAATGGTATTGAAAATATTTAGAAAAATGTGTTAAAATTTCTCAAGTTTGATGGCCCATGTCTTGGCCATTTGAAGACTTTTATAATAAATTTTTTTCAGCAATCGTCATCATTTTTGCTGTAGTATATGAGGTTAATTTTATGCCCCGAGTCACCGGAACATCCTCTATATAACCGCAGGAATTTGACAACATGTGGTTCCACCGATTGAGTAGTTTCAAAAACGATTTGCCCCGTTTTGTTCGTGTTAAGTTTGAGCTTATTATCGGAGAACCACATATGTGCTTGTTCGACTGCTTCTTTTGATCCCCCTTCCAGACTTAGCTTGTTGTTGCCTCTGATGATGATGGATGTGTCATCTGCATACAAATCCATCAACGCAGTTGTACATGCCGTTTATGTAGATTACGAAGAGCAAAGGCCCCAATATTAACCCCTGAGGTACCCCATGAGCAATATCATTGTAAGTTGACCTCTCACTCTTCCACTCTACGAGCTGCTTCCGATCCGTTAAGTAAGACCTCAGAAGCATGAGTTGATTTCCTCTTATCCCTTAATATTCCAACTTCTGGATGAGGATGCGTTGACAGTGTCAAAAGCCTTACTCAAATCAAGCAGGTTTAATACGATTTTATCTCTCTCGTCCTGAGCCTCAGTTATACGGGATAATACCGCTGTTATGGCGGTTAACACAGATTTGCTTTTTATCTATCCATGCTGATTCTAGCAAAAAAATTACTTTTTTCAAAATATTGTACCAGTCGTGTGGAAATCAGTTTTTCAAAAATCTATGACATCACCAGAAGAATAGATATACATCGATAATTGTTATAGTCTTCCCGGTCTCCTTTTTCAAATATCGGGAGTACCCTTGCTATTTTCATCTCATTCGGGAAAACACCTTCTTCGGCGCACTTGTTGAGTATGACAGCAAGTTCATCCTCACAGGTATCAATGACGCTCTTCAATACCCAGCTATTCAACCCATATATATCGTATGTTTTGCTTGTTCGTATTGACTTGGCGGTTTCAATAATTTCAGCAGTCGTAATGAGTGCGAAGAAAAATAAGTTGTGGCCAGAGATGCTTTTTCTTTTCAAGTAGTGATCAAACGAAATGGTCAGCTCGATTTCATTTACAATTGCCGCTACTGTATTGACAAAATGCTTGTTCATTTGATTCACATTCTTTTTCTTATTAACTATCTGTGAATTAATTATTTTCCATATTGCTTTTTGCACGTTGCTTGATTCTGCAACGAAATCTTCATTCTTCTTACGTTTATGCATTGTAACTGTTTCGTGATACTCTTTTTTGTATTTTTTATATAAATTATAACTATCTTCCGCCTTTGTTATTTGCATTGCAGTATAGTGTTATTCGCTTCTATTTGTGCTGTAAAACATCAAAAGATTTCAACAGCCTATCGGACAAGAAACATGTAAACCCAGCATCACTACAACTAGGGATATCTGTTCTTTACGCAAAGATACGCATGGAATCGGCACCAATTATTGAATGGATAATAATCTCTCCTAAGCTTGAGTGATACCGTTAGTATTTTCTTGCCATACGTTAGTATTTTAGTTTGAAACTAAAAGTTTAAACTTTTCACAGTTTAAGTAACAAATTGAGGGT